ATATATATATATATATATTTATTTAGATAAGGAATTCACTTATTCTAAGAACAAGTATTATAGATTTACTCCACTCAAAAACTTATGTTTTACATTAAAATTTTAATAATCTAATAGTTGTAAAAGTTTTTAATATATAAATTAAGTCTGTAAAATTTTTAAAAATTTAAAAATCATATAACACCTTGTTATAATATATATATATATATTCAAATTAACATAAAAAAGATATTTTCATAATTATCTATCAATTTGAGTTAATAAAATAAAATATCAAATAATTCATAATTTTTAAAAAAAATTGTAAACTTAATTTACATTAAAAACTTTTAATTTAATGATTGAACGTGTTATAATTTGATATAAAACATAAATTATTTAGTAAAATAAATTTTCACTTTTTGGACACTTTGATTTATTCAATGAACAACTTGAAAACACATTCTCAAAGAAATAAAGATCAAGTATTGAATTTTAACTATACAAACCCAAGGATAAAAATATTATCCCTTAATTTATACTTTATTTTAATATATGAAGAAAAAAAAAACTATACTTGAATTCTTCAAGTGATTGATGTTGATCTCATGATTTTGGTTATAGTCATAGAGATATCTGAATGAAGCATGGTGGTGAAAAAACGAAGCATCCTGGATGATGTTATTGTTGTTGGTCTTGGAGAGAGAAAGCGGAGAGAGGAAAAGACCTTGTAATCCCAGCGGGGTTAGCGAAGGATATGTTCCCGGAAGAAGGGTCGTCGACGAAGATCTCGGAGATGGTGGCCCAAATGAAAAACTCTTTGGTCTTGACGCCGGTGACCCTTCGCATGCGGTGCTCCTCCACGAATGCGGTGACCTCCGGTGCGTAGGAAACGGTGCGTCCGATGGCGTGGAAGCGGTGCTCCTTCTTGCGCTTCTGCTTTAGCCAGACGAAGCCCGTCGTGCGGTTGTAACCCATCTCGATTATGTTTTCCAACGGTAGCAGCCCTCGCGGCAGCAGAATCTCGTCCATCAGGACCCTTGACTTTTGCTTGCACTCTGCCTCTCCCCGGTAGATCTCCGCCTCTTCCCTCTTCATCCTCAATTCGCTTCCCATTCTATTCTTCCTTCCTTTTCTTTTCTTTTTTTTCTTACCTTCTGGGACCCACGCTTATTGTGGGACTTCCATTTATCATCTCTCACCCCAACTATATCCTCACATTTTATCTTTCACATAAATATTAATAATCATGATTAATGATTTGGACTGGATGGAGAGAATATATATATATATATATATATATATATATATATATATATATATAAATATATCTTTAGAATATATATATATATATGAATTTTCCATTTTGTTGTGAATTGTGATACATTCTTCTCTCGATTTAGATGTCGTGAAAAAGTATGGAATGAGTGACCGCTACGTCTATTCCGAATTCCACGCTACCTTGGGATTACCGCATCTTCTTATTTAAGAAGCAAATCATTTTCATAATGATTACATTACAACAACGACGTGCACAATTCAATGATTAAAAAAATTTTGAGCACACAGAATAATACTACTATTTTAAAACGAATAAATACAGAAGAAAAGAACGTAGGGGACATTCCTGCTAACTTGTAACAGGTTGTCAGCTTTTTCTCTATTAATAAAATAATTTTTTTTTTTTAATTTCTTTTTTCATTTTAATCTCCTTGACCCTTTGTTAAGAGACAGATTCATCTGGTAGGTTCTTTAATCTTTTACTTTTCTTTGATTTTGTGTTTTTGACCTCTTTTTCGCGCTTATGGGGTCATTAGTTAATCATTTGATGATTCCCCCCACATTATAGAAAGATACTTCTGGCACTTGCTACAGCAGCTTCCATTCGCATACAACAAATCTGGGTGTGCCCTTTTGGTTCTTCCTGAACTGGACACTTTCTTGACAGTGGTCCCATCACTGCTCTTGAGATTGTGTCTATACTCCACTGCCACCTGTTCAAAAACTTCCACCTCAAACATGTTCACCTTCAGGTTGGGCTTCATGTGATCTCTAACAAATGCAAAGGGCAATTGGTCTCTTGGGTTAAATGCCTCCAACTCATTGAATACAAGGCAGGAAAAGAGGTTACTGCCAAGTCCATGCCTCCTCAATATCAAAGCACTATCTGGCACATCTGCCAAAAACAATTAAAATAGAATACCATAAATTTTAGGACAAAGGAGATGACATCATTTTGCATGCAAATTTGTTTTCTCTCACTCGTTATCTAATACAATTTTTTTTACCAATTAACAAGTCAATTAGAATATGACTAAATTCAAATTTTTAAACAAAATTTTGAATCTAAGTCTTGTCAATAAAAAATATATATATAACATCACCGAAAATATTTAGTCAAATTCTTTCATATAAATTAGTCATTAGTTAAATTGACAAAAGTTCTACATCAATAATCCATAAACAAAAGAAAATGTTTACTGTTATTCTTTTGTGATTATTATAAATTTTTATCTAAAATATCATTCTTCTTATTCATCAACTAAATAATTTTAAAAAGTTTGTGAAAATTAATTAAATAAGAATGATAACAAATACATTGGAATGACATTGAGCAATGAACACTCTCCTTTATTATCGGTATGGGCCTTGAGGAACCGGTTCTTAGGGATGATAAACATAGCAAATGCAAAATGATAAATAGACAAGCCGAGGTGGAAACGAAGATGATTCAGCAAAAAGACAAAATTAGGTACAAAACTAACATCTGCATGTGAGTCTCAACCATCAATGTTTTAAGGACTGAACTACTAACATTATGTAATGTAACAAAAAACAAAAAAAGGGAACAACTTAGATGGCAAGATCCAATACTTTTGGGACACATTTGACGGTTTAACACAAACTACAACTCGTGGACCATGATTTTGGTGATCTACTTCCGTATAATTGAAATTTAGTGCAAATTTTCATCCTAATTGAATTTGAAATCTTATTAGATCATAAAAAGACTAAAATTATAGGCTTTCTTCTTTGTAATGAAAAATAGAAACCTAAAAGAGTAGCAATTTAACTTTGAATAGGTGCCAACCTCCTCAGCTAAGACCTGGGATGAGTTTCATAGTCCTATGTCACCAAAAATAATGGGCTAATTAAGGACAACTACCTCTGAAGACTTTACAGGGCTTATAGGCCATATTATATTTATTGTCAACGGCGGTGCAAAAGTTCTCAAGTTCCTTAAAATGATAAACCCCACCACGCTCTTCCAGATTGGTATTCATTAAATTAAAGTGCATTTGCTAGTCAAAAGTGAACGTGGTATAAACCTTTTCTAAGGTTCACGGCATAATAGACTTAAATATGATTCATGTATTTGAATTAGTTTAATTTAAAGTTTTAATTAACTTACCCTGGCAACTAACTTTCACAAGCTTAAGCTATCTCAATCAGCTTTCAAGTGCATTGTTTCATATCTTCACTACACATGAATATTTCTTGATGTAACAATTGTAATTTGCAAGTAAACAACCTTTGCAATTTTGCATAACAAATTAAAAACCACAATTTCTTTCTAGAAATTAACATTAAAAAAATGTATAGCTACCTGACATATAAGGCTGCTTGCTGGGACTCCATGGTTGCAATCCATTTTCACAGTATGTCTCCATTTGAACCTTCAATGCATTGACATCCCACCATTTCTTCCATCTTGCAGTTGCCATTGCTTCTTCCATGGTATGAACATAATAAGGGTGTTTAGATATAGCCATGTCCACATTCTCAGATAAAACAAGTGAATGAATCAACAACAGAGGATCAACCATTAGTTGCAACTTTGCATCTATCCAAATGCTGAATTGGGAATTTGGGAATAGCCTATGGACTAAATATTTTGGTATAACCCCATTCATTGCTGGGTTCTGATACAAATCCTCTGTTGCAACCTTCACAATCCTCCACACACCTATCTTGTATTCTCTCGATTTTGTTGAAACCATTCCATGATGTTCGAGACCCTTAAGGGTAACATCGTCTACAAACATAAAGAAACACACTTCTTGCAATGTGTTGGACCCAAGGCCCTTCGGTTGACGGATTTTGTCATGATCATTGAAGATTGCTGAAACAACAACTATACTGTCACACTTTTCCATCGCAGTTCGATCTACATCAAGAGAAAAGGCATTTAACATTAGAGAAATACTATCAAAAACCAAACTAAAGAAATAAAGCTTGAAAGTGAATGTTGATTTCATTGACATTATGATCCCCTCCTTGGTATAAATAATTTTTGGACAAAACATACATGCATTTTGGTACTTTTTGTGTTACTTTTTATCATAATTGAAATTTTATCTTGATAATCTGTATAGTAATGGAAATTCAATTACTACAATAAATTCTGATAAAAGATCAATGCTAGATGCAAATAAGAAATCCTTTTCTTTTTCATATATATGAATCTCAGTGGAATGTTATAACCAATAGAAAAATGATGATTGAATATTTATAGGGTGAATTGAGATCTGACTAGTGAATTCACGTACAACTGACCAGAATCACTGATAGGAAACTTCTTGAGAAACCCGCAGGGAACTGCTGTGGTATCATTTTGATGATCGAAATATGAAAACCTCATAAGGGTGCTGAGATTCCCTCCGAAACTATCAGCATTCCCCTGCATATACCTAAGAGCCCCTGAAAAAGCCGGATTGTTCTTGCGGTAATTCCTGATCTCTTTGACAACATCCCAGTAATCTGAATTCACAAGCCGCGACCCATTAGCAAAAAGTGATGATCTTGGTCACGGAAACGAGAAGAATTCCCGTGAGGGGATAATGGGGTAGGTACCTGAAAAGAAGACAGGGGAAGAGCATGTGGAACGGGTGGTTGAGACAGCGTACTTGTGCTCTCCGTAAGAAGAAGGGTAAGAGAAGAGAGAATTTTGAATGGGATCGGAAGGGGATGATCTGAAGAAGCATTTGGACTGTGACAGAGTGGTGTAGAGAGCGAGGAAAAGAGTGGTGAAGAGGTAGAGCAGAGAAAAACAGAGGAGCTTGGAGTGGAGGATGAGAGGTTTGGAAGTGGTTATTAGCTTGCCCATAATAATAAACTGCTTTTTTCTGGGGATTTCTCTTCCATGGGTTTCGTTTAGTTTCACTTTGTTTAGTGAGAATTGATGATGTTGCATTGCATCATGATGATGATGACCCACATAGACGGTTACTTGTCGATATCAACAATGTTAATTTTGTTGCCATCTAGGTGGGCCTTTCTCTAAGCTACTTGCACTACAAAAAGCTCGAATTGGTTGAGAATAGATAAATATATGATTTTTATTTAATTATTAGTGAAAAAATACATTTCTTAACTCAATGATTTTTTTTAAAGAAATAAATGTAAATATAGAAATTAAGTGACATCATGTATCATTATTAAAAAAAAAGTAAAATAATCTTAAATAAAAATTAAAATTAAAAGTGATTATAAAATAAGCAGATAATTATTAATGATAGAGTAGAAAATTTTTTTTATATTTTTTTATTTTATTCTTTAGAGACATAACGGTGGAAAAAATAATTAATATACCATTTGGTCCTTTTTATAAGACATAGTTTAGAGAGAAAAAATTTAGTCATTTATATAAGTATTTTATAGTTTCTATAAAATACTAAATTATTTTTCTTTGTATGTCTTGTTAAAAATTGTGAGAATATGCATTTTTTTCTCTTACTTCTTAAACATTCTTTTTAAACACTCTCAAATTGACATTAATCATTTTTGTTAATATTGATGTACAAACTTTTATAAAAGATAATATTTTTATCTCTTGTAAAAAATTTAATGATAAATAAGAAAAGTAAATTTGATAAATCATAGCTTTATTTTATAAATTTAATAAAATCAACTAATATAATCATTTATATTGATTCATGTGAATCAATTAAAAGTTCCAAGGATTGAAGGGAGCATATAATAAAAGGATATAAATATTTAAAAATATGTAAAAATCAAATGGAGATATTTCTTTTATATACAACTAATATTTCAATATTTTGTTATATCGTATAATGTATTTGAATCAATAATACATTTACCGATGATATATCAATATCTAATCACAAATTAGTATTCATGTTTTGTTGATTTTTATTACTAGTAATTTATGATAAATAAATATTATGAAATATATAAATTAAATAATTTTTTATTATAAACACTTCACTTTCTTTATTCTGTTTATAATTATTTTTATTTGAATAAATACTTTTTATGAAGGGGTCATAATTCACACTCCAAACATACATGTGTCTTTTATTTTTTTATAGATTTAAATGTGTTTTTTATCTCTTAAATATAATAATTATACAAATTTTAAATCAAACAAAGGATATATTATCTAACAATTAGTAATAGAATAA